CTGGAGGAGAAAACAGAGTTAACGTTACAGGTCCGGTGACCCTTCCTCCTGAGTTCTGAGGAGTCGTCACCGGACCCGAAACGTTAATAAATGAAAAAATTATACTTTGTTAATTAGCTTTGATTAATTAAACCAAAAGAAAATTTAAATTTAAAGTTTTAATAAACCTGTAATTGCACAAGCTACATCACTTCAACAGTCCAAATATATGAATTAATCTAACTTGCGTTCTATCTGGACAGAATAAAACTACAAGGATGTGTGAAATTACTTAATTTTATCCCTTTAATACTTGTCAAAAACAACAATTTACAGTAAATTTAATCTCGCTGCATGTACAATGATAAATATATACAGGATTCAACCTTTTTGGTAAACAAACAAACAGTACAAAGTAAGGACATGCAGTATTCAAAAGCTCCTACATGAGATACGTAATGAAGATATTTGGGACAAGTGAAATTTCTAATTTAAACAGATACATAACAAACACTATTTTAAATGCCAACAATCAAACTCCAAATTGCTCAAAAAAATGGTCCATTCATACTTATTTCAGGACATGAGCTTACAGCAGACCATAAACTGAAAAAAAGTATCAATTTCTCAATCCCACGAAGAATAATTTCACTTTTATCCTCTGACAAACTGATTTTTAATGCACCAAAATGTCGAATTTGCATTTACATTCCTCCGTGACTTTGGGACAATTCCCATCGCTGTATAAACTCCTCTAATACAACACTCTTTGTAAAATCATTGTTTCATAGTTAATTTCTTGACCAACTCCTTATCCTTCATTTCAACACTGGCCACTTGGCCTTCACTGCCCAATTAAGACAATAAACCTGCAACTTCCCTCCATTTAGAACCATTAACTTTCTGGCAGTAGTTTTATTCATCCTACCCAAGATCTTTCTAATTGGTTTGGAGGTCTTTTCTCCCCTCTACATCCCTCTGAAGTGCGACTGGATAGCATTAAGGGTGCTATATAAATCTAAAAAACTGCTGGTGAAAACACTTGTATGACATCTACTATTAACTTTGCATTACAACAGTAGCAGCACTTCGAAAATACTTTATTTCCTGTTTTGGACAATCTGAAGATCTGAAAGGCAGTTTAAATTTAAATTCTTTCTTTATATACCATGTGTGATCTGAAAGCAGTGTTTGGACTTCGTAAGAGAAAGGGAACAGGAACCAAGAGACAATCAGAATGCTTTGTACAAACAGCTAATGCAAAGACAGCACCTCCTGCATTAAAACACACACACTACAATGCTGCCCTCTGCTGCCTATCTTTACGTCTTCTGAAGCACGTAAATTGAGTATTTCAAGTCAGAGCAAAGTCAGGGCATTAATTAACTACATCTTTCTGCTTAATTGAGCAGAAACTGCTCCTGATTGACTATTAGCCCTCTAGCACTCAACGACCTATAAGAACACAGGCTTGAAGAAAATAATCAGTTTTTAAAAACGTGACAACTGCCAGCGTGAATTGCTCAGGATATTTTTTTCTGGGAGAAAACTTCACAGCATCATAGAAGTGTTACGGCACAATAGGAGGCACAACATACTTGCAGTAGCTCATTCAAAGAGTTATCACAGGCCTGTGATTTCAAATCAACATGCTCTTCTCCAATTTTCGACTGGTTTGCCAGACAGTTGCAGCAACTATTTGTTTTATTAGTATAGATTTCTGAAATTTGAAACTGCTCCTTATGTTTTAGTCTCAAAGAGAAAGTCTGGTTAAATCACATTCCCTGTTCCAGATGCTGAATAACCAGCTGTGCATTCTCAGCATTTACGTAATAATCATAATGGTTTGTACCAAATTAGGAAATAAGACTATACTTTACAGTAATGCACTTGTGCTCTCAATTCACTGTGAATTCTCAAGAAATGAACTTAGTAAAATTCTTCATTATAGAAATAAAGACTTGCATTGGTTTTTACAGCCTCTTAAACCATTGGAAAGAAATACAGAAGGCACACAGTAGAGTGCATACATCCACCAAGCTGCATCAACACAACGTTATTACAATTTACACAGCTTTTTTGAGACTTGTCCCCACTTGTTTGATGCTTTGTAAATGTAAAGCTAAAAACAAATCTTTCTATTCAGGGCTTCTATCTCACCGGAGACTTCAGACCAATCCACATACAAAAACCTGCTCTGAAAATTCTGCTCACATTTTGGTGCATGACAAATTCCACCACAGCAGCTAAAGAATCCACAGCATTAAAAAAAAGGGGATATTTATTTGGAAAGTATGTTTGCCCTTTCACTCAGTATTAATGTTCATTTTTAAAAATTTGAGGATCAAGTTTGGAATCATTGTCAAAATGTAATTAGCTCTCCCTTGGGCCATAAAATACATACTAATTATTGTTAAAATGCTTTCATTAGTTTTCACAAAAAGGGGCAAAAACATTGTTTATCATGCTTGCCTTCCTTTTTTAACACTGCTAAGTTACTGCCAAATTTGGCAAATTTTTATACTGTGGTCTCTGTCTGCTTGGAACCAGATTGTAACAGGTCACTTGTTACCAAAGGAGAATCTCTGATTTGGACCTCAATCATGAGGAGGGAAGAGCAGCACCACAATACGTTTCAGTTCCAAGCCTGACAAGATCCTTCACAGTACTTTACATGTTACAGTTGGCTTGGCAAGTGAGGAGATATTAAATGGAAATTATCAGCATTGCAAAGTAAGGTGAGATTTATATATAGTTTGAGAGTTTGAACCTGTGGCATATCAGTTTCGTGTGCGCCTGAAGGGGTTTAGTAAGTAACTTGCATTTTTGTAGCCATGGTATGTAATTTGAAGCACAGTATGAGACACACACACACAGTTTCTGGAGTGCAATGGAGATTTGTTTACATTAGAAGAATTTATGAGAGAACAAGATAAAGAGCAGAGCACATTAGGCTTTCAGACAGAAGATTTTGGGAATTTTTTTTTGAGAGAGAATTAGGGGGAAACACCCATAGCTTAGGAAAAAGCTTTATTAGATTCAGTTTGAAGCAGTTTACAAAAATCTTGGCCTGAAGGTGGATGTGTAAAATAGTTGCTCCTGAGAAAGGTTTAGGGCTGTTAAGAAAAAGGTTATCTCAGCATACGGAGTTTACTTTAAAAGCTCCAGACCAGAAGTGTTTGGTTACAACCCTGAAGGAGTCATTTGAAGCCAGGAATGTTGGAAACTCAGTTGCCTTAACGCTTCAAGATTCTCAAATGGGGGATTAAAGCCACGGTTAATACACACAAAGAAAATTCTCTTTTGTGCAAGTACTATAAATTGGGACTAATGGCATTGTATTTTACCATGAGTTACAAAATCTTTAAAGTTTGTTAAATGCAAATAGTTTGGTTTATTCAATTGTAACTTACTTTTAAAAAAACCTTTAAACCTGAATTACAACGGTGAGATTTTCAGTGAGAGATCACCCTATTAAAACAAAGCTAACAAGACAGATTTCAGTCTGGGGTATGACTTGTCTCAACTATATCCTTCTACCGCTTCCACAGCGTAATTAAACAACAAATGAAGGAGTTTTGCCCAGAGTTGAATGGAAAAGGGAAAATATCTGCTACCTCTCGTGTAGTCCATCCAGCCACAACTCATGGGATTAAGCAAGTTAATCAGTGGATAATGTCAGATGCCTAAATATAGGATTCAGCTGCCTATAAGAGCATGAAACACTACCATGAATGTCTCCCATTCCTCAACTTATTGAAAATAATCCACATTCCAAAATGTCTGCAATGCAGCCTCTAGTACTTCTAACTGTCAGTTTTTACAGCAAATACAGTAACAAGTAATCCAACACCCACCTGTGGAAAAGAACCTAAGTGTACATCTTACAAGGGGAGGCGATGGCGTAGTGGTATTATTGCTGGACTGTTAATCCAGAGATCCACATAACAACCCGGGACACGGGTTCGAATCCCGCCACAGCGGATGATGGAATATGAATTCAACATCTAGATTTAAGAATCTAATGATGACTGTGAATCCATTGTCAACTGTCAGGAAAAACCCATCTGGTTCACTAATGTCCTTTAGGGAAGGAAACTACCATCCTTACCTGGTCTGGCCGATGCTGTGGGTCTGGAGTCACACAATGTGGTTGACTCCGAACTGCCCTCTGGGCAATTAGGGATGGGCAATAAATGCTGCCTAGCCAGCAATGCCCTGATCCCATGAATGAATAAAGAATGAAAGAAAAAATCTTAGCATTGCCATTAACTGAACCATAAAAATCCAAGAATTTTACAATACAAAGGCGGCCATTTGACCTATCATGTCTGTTCTGGCTCCTGAAAGAGCAACCCAACTAGTCCCATTTTCCAACCCTAACTCCATTGCCCACTAAATTAATTACTTTCAAATATATATCCGTTTCTCTTTTGAAACCTCATATGCAATGCCACCACTCTCCTGGGCAGCGCATTCCAAACTCTAAGAACTTAGTTAAGAAGTTTCACACCTCACTCCTAGCTCTCTTGCTGACAATCTTGAAATTGCCACAGAGAGCTTGAAATTACGATTCCTTTTTACTGATATAACTGTTGAAATAATTTTAATATTTACACTGGTCACTAAGGAAATATATGTTGTTTTGTTAAAAAAAAATCTTACCTTGGATTTAAAAGGTTTCAGACAAGGAGTTAAAAAGGTAGCCACAAAGGTTCACTGGGTGGCTATGACATATGAACTGGAAGGTTCCAGATTCTATTTCTAATCTATGCTCATCACAGTAATGGGAGGTTGGGTGGGTAAATGATTTATCTTCAGGAATAAGTAGAAGTTCAAGTCAGACATAACACATGAGGTGCTGTGTGCGAACCAAAAGTAAACAAGATGAGAAGTGCTAGTCTGAAGACAACATAAAACATTATTGCACTAAGTGCACCCGTTAGTTAAAATGCAAGTTCAGAAACATTACAAATGAATCATAATGCATAATATAAAATATAAATTATCCAGCAGCTCACCCAAATCATAAGCCATGAAGTCCGAAGAGAAGCACTTAGCTCCATGGCTCATTGAAGTGTCATTGTGAGTATTCCCACCAAACACCAACATGGTTCCGCTTACAATAATGGCAGTATGCAGGTAACGGAAGAAACCTCGATCTTTCAAGATTGTCCTTTTGAAATGGAAAAGAAAATGGATATCATTCCATATATCCTTAACAAGGCATGACCATTTTAAAGCAGCAGTTTGAAAATGTTTGCGTGTCTTGATCACAAGGGGAATCTCTTTGCAATATCAAATGTCTGGAGGGACAATGCAAATAAAAATAAATTCCCAGAAGCTCCATTCCCATACGTCAGTAAACATCCACAGAATTCATATCAAATATTGGCATATGCTCAGGAATTATCTGTCATACTGACACATCCCCAGTGATCGTACAACTATTAGAGACATCCCACAAATGGAGATACATTCTCAAACACGACTGACACCCATCCAATGAAACACTGCACTACTCTAACAAAGTACATTTCCTCAAACAAATACATTACTAGTGAATAAAATAATACTACCTTTACACAAAGATAAGCAACGTGCTACAAAATAAAAAAAATAGAAAATATTGGACATCGCTGAAGACTTGGTACTCCTGGCAGCAAATGGATAAACAGCTCCAAAACAACACAGGTATCTTGTATTCTAAAGGTCTATAATCTCAGTTATGAGGAAGGGTCACCTGACCCAAAACGTTAACTCTGTTTTCTCCTTCACAGATGCTACCAGACCTGCTGAGCTTTTCCAGCAACTGTTTTTGTTCTTGATTTACAGCATCCGCGGTTCTTTTGGTTTTTGTCTATAATCTCAGTTTGATTCCAATTGTGCAAGGGCGTCCCTTTATCCAATAATGTCAGAGTGAAAGCAGATAAACAGTAATAGCAAAAATTCCCATGTTAGATCAGTTTTTAGTAACCAGTGACCTGCAGCTATTCTAGAAGAAATTGTTTTGCTCTTTCAGTGTTGACATTAGGCTAGTGTTGGAATGTGTTGTATTTGAAATTTGTCATCTAGTTTTCGATTTTCCCATCAGTGGTCTACTGAAAAATGGCTCGAGAGAGAATCAAGTTCAAAAATCACATGACACCGGGTTACAGTCCAACATGTTTATTTGAAAACATAAGCTTTCAGAGCCTTGCTGCTTCGTCAGGTGATAGTGAGAGAGGTGGCATCAGACACAGATTTTGTAAGTGAACGGTCAACGGGTCATAGAACTGATGCAATTGTTTTGAAAAAACCCAAGATGTCTGTTAAATCCCTATTCAGTTAGGAAGGAAATGTAGGTTTCGATTGATTAATATGCAAATCCTAGAATTTCTTTTAAGTCACTGCCCTGAGATAACTAAAGGTTTTATCAGAATACCAGAGATGTCATCTCAGGTCAGACAATGGATTTTAGTTGTGAGGCCTTGTTCAGAATCTGTCCCTGTTTTAACTTGGAGTGAGACTGGTTTTATCTCCAAATTGGAAATTTATAAAATGCCACGTTATCCGCAATTGTTTGATTTTTGAACAAAATAGAATGTATTTGCAGG